GTTTCTAGTTCTGCTGCTACACAATAAGACCCAAATTTGTTGTAAATACACTGAAAGGATGGGGGGGGGGGGATCTTTTTTGCCCCACTTTGTGCCCTTAGTACCATTTGAGGATCATTTAAATGTCACAACCTACCTGTGTATTGTTGCTGACCCTGTCCATTTGTTTCCTGCAGCATGACACACCATATCACAAAGCTAAAACCATCTCAGACTGGTTTCTTAAACATGACAGTGAGTTCACTGCATCCAAATGGCCTTTAAAGTTACCTGATCTCGATCCAATAGAGCACTAGATGTGGTGGAGTGGAAGATTCTCATCATGGACGTGCAGCCAACACATCTACAGCAGCTGTTTGATGTCATTGTGTTTTTAATATTCCGGGAGAAATCTGGCAGCTGCTTCTTGAGAAACTGAAGTCTGAGCTGTAGATAAGTCAGATTCAAAAGAACACACCATTTTCCCTTGTTTTGAATCCTCATGTTGTGACCATCTGAATAGTGGTCATCTGTATCTCATTTGTCTGTGGAGAAGACTTCTGGCGATGGATGAACAGTTCTGTAACAGGAATATCCACAAGAAAAACTCTCAGAGGGATTGCAGGATTCTTTTCTTTATGTTTTTTAATGAACCCTAAACAATATGAGACTGCGCCCAAATCCCTGGTTAGGTTTTTCCTTTTCAACCATGTATGTGTAAAAGAAAAGTGTCAAAAATGTATTGTTTGCCTTTGTTGAGTTTGATTTTTTTTTAAACTCAGCAAACATTGAATCATTCATTTTTAGGACTAATGTATAAGCAACATTGCCGTACCTTTATTTTAAGTGCAGAGAAACATTTGAAATGGGAGACACTTCTTGATGTATCGCTCCACATCACATAAAGTCATTAAAAACATGCACATGGTACTTCCTACCAGTACTGGCCAACAAAAGATCCATTCTTAACATGATGATCATTTGAAAAATGAAATGACAGACTCCACAACATAGTTATCTGTAACTTTCTCGTGTTTTTCTAACAGCTGTTCAGCACTTTTGTCAGTATTTGTTGTTTTGAAATGTTTGTTATAAATAGGCTTCATAAAAAATGAAACAAATTACATAAATGGCGAGTGTTTCACTTTTAGTGAATCAAATTTTGAATCAAGTAATCTCCTTAAAATTTATTGTATAATCAGGTCTCAAAGATCATGCAGTGTAAACACCACATTCTAATTTTTTCTACCTTTTGTTTAGACAGTTTGAGCTGTATATAAAAAGAGGACGTGTGTTCTTTTAACGTTTGCCCGTTGTGAAATTCACACTGTAAGACAAGTTGTCTAAGATGAGGCCAATAATGTGGCAGTGGATGGATGAACACACATATGGATGGATGGAGCATGTTGCCTATAAACTTGTAATTCCATAATTGCAGGCGTTGCAGCGATGGAAACAAAATAAACCTTGTTTCTTAGATTGTGTATATTTTAGTTTTAATCAACTTACATTTCCAGTAGAGAGGTTCAAGCAGCTGCTTTTTTTTCTCTTTGGACAGGAAGGCTTGAGCAATACCACAACATGTGGTTTTAATTGTGAATCGAACAACACTGTAGTCTGGATCAATGTGTGAGTACTCAAAACGTCAGTAATCAGAGTTTCATGTTTTTATACAAACTTATTAACTAAGACCTTAGTGTGTGTCTCTGTGGTCTGCAGCACGGCCTGATTGTAGGTGTAAGACTTTTAGACCTGTATATGAGCATGAATTATTTGTAGCAAAGTATCCCATAGCACAAGAGGATGCTACAAAATAATGTGACACATTTAGCATTCCTTTAGATTTTCCTTTAGAAATAGATTTGAGTAAACAATCAGATCACAAAGCAACTAGATTAAGTAAACTTTGAGTGTGTAATGATAAATACATTTGTACTCTACAGAAAACAGGACAAAACAGGACTAAAACTCGGTTGAAGTAACTTGACTGAAACCTTAACACTGCACACACTACACTACACATGTTTTATTTAACAAGCACAAAAACATAAAGCCTCTTGATAATAGGCTGATGGGAAAGAGCATCAGTTACCGACAAACCCTAAAATCTTTTCGGGCATTGCATAACCTGTCACCACTTATAGTCTGCCTGAATTCACTTTACAATAGGTCACTTCTAATTTTATTTGCAGTGCTGGAAGTAGTGTAAAACAGCACTTGGTGCTATCCTTCCCAAACTTGTTATTCTCTTGAAGATCTTGCTCACTTTGCCTCTGTTTCTGCAGAAATCTGTGATGCTCTGAAGTTACACAACAAAATAAATGCTGATTCAGATCTTTTCAAACGAGTTTGATGGTCTGAGCATCCCTCAAACACTTGGGGGTAAAAACAGCCCATTGTTCTGAATGGCAGCACATGCAGGATCAATGAATTAGAATTCCCGTCATTCCTGTGAGTCATCCAGGCAATTTCCTGCTGAGAGGAATTCCTGGTTTTCATCTAGCATCTGGAAAAGTAATTTGACACTGTGCTGTGGCAGAGCTACTAGGACAGGTCAGTAGTTTTGCTTTCCCTAACCTTAAATGTATATGCTACCTGCAGTATTACTACACATGTACATGTGTAAAAGGCGGACGCTCACTTTCTCTGAAGACTGTGACTCATATTCTCCCATAAGTGATGCGATACAGAGGCATCATGAATTATTAATGAAGGCTTGCAGTGTCCCTCTGTCATAGCTCAGGAGGCAACTCTTGTCCCGACGACAGAAACACAATTGCATCTATTTTTGGGGGGGAGGGGGGTTTAATACAGTCACAAACGCTCAAATATGCATCTTTGATATTTGGAAATAATACATGCGCAAACTGTGGATTAAATAAACATAGATATATACAAACACCTCCAGCAAAAGGAAAATTTCTTCATCCTTTTTAGGAGAATTTGTTTGCAATTGAGAAAAACCATAACCACTCTGAGTAACAAGATTGATATAAAGATAACAGACGCATTTGTTTCCAAACTTGCAATTTATTTTGTTTCCTGCATACAAAAAGTTCACATACTGGCAGACAAAACTCATAATTTAAAAGCTTTAATTCACAACAGATGTTAGAGAAACTTTTTTTTTTTACTTACCAAGCAGAAATCTGCTCGGTAACTGTTACCACTTGGCAGTTAGATAGTTCATATCATTACTTCTAGTCTTTCATGAATAATACGCTGTTCCCGTTGAAAAAGCAGGACAATGTCACACATTTGTTGTCTTTCCCAGAAATACGTCCTTTCCATCCTTTTTTCCATCAATTTTCACATTCTTTTAAGTATCTGTTTATTTGACCCCAAATTTGGCATTGATTTCAATCTCTTTATGAGACCTCATGAGCATAAGACGGTTTTACTGTAAGTTACCTTGAGAGAAAAGCACAATTACCATCATGCCCCTGTGTTTTTCCCTATGGATCAAACACACAGTGGTTCTTGGACTCTCTGACCCTTTTTCTCTTTTCATTTTTGTTTCAGAGAAACGAAACATGCTCTGCACACCATCTCCCCTCCTTAACATCTGTTTCTAAAAATAACTCTTTTTAGGGGAAAGGGGCCTTTAAAACATTTTTCCAAGAAGAGCCCTGACTTTGAGAAACATGGACATAACTGTTTGAGCGCGACATCTAAAGTGCTGAGAAAAGGAGATGCTGATAATTAAGTTGCCGCCCACATGAACTCGTATATTTCACATTAAACAGAAACTTTTGTGGAAATCTGCCACCAAAAATAATGTAACTGTAAATTGTAATTTGATGGATGAAAGTGTAATTGCTGAAAGCTGCTACAGACTGTCAGTCACACTAAATACATTCCAGCATAATTGCTACCTCGAATATTCTGCGATCGCCACACTGCTTTAGTGGCTTTAAAGATTATAATGTTGACATAAACATGAACCGAGGTGCGTTGAACAGCTTATTCAAGTTGCAGTGTTTGGTTTTTGATCTGGTGACATTCTAAGTAATTTCTGAAGTTATCAAACAAGTTCACAGTGAAAATCCACTCTGTTACCTCACTTTTCCATTTAAAACGTATGATTTTATTATTTTCAGTTATATTCTTGCTTATTGGTAAATTCAAAAGTGGAATTTCTCATATGATGCAATGTCATAAAATTACACTGTGTCAGTGCATGATATGACTTATGCAGTGAGTCGAGCAGTAAAAAGTTTATTTGCACCTTGGGCGCTGCGATACCTTAAAGTCTGCATATATGTATGGATATACACATGTTCGAAAAAAAAATGACGAATGTCTCCAAGAGGTAAGAAAGTAATAAAATTACTTCATTATCAATCAAAGCAACTCATAGACTTATCTCTAAATGATGAATGTGTCTGAAATGTATTGCGCATTCAACTTCTCCCTGTCTGATGCAGTACCACCAGCAGATTTGGGGGCATGATAAGGAGAGGTAACTGAGGGGGCGGATGCGGGGGGGAATGGGGGGTCGGAGAGAGAGGTGAGTAAGAGATGAGTCAACAGCTCTGCAATATAAGATG